CAGCCATGGAATGACCTACAGCCAAGGGACGATCTTGAAGAGGCTGCCTGGATCATTGTTCCCTCACCGTCTAAATCCACAGATTTCCTCTTTGCTTTAAAAGACAGCTTCTCTGCCCAAATGCTAACAAGGGAGGCAGGAATTTTCAACATAAAAATAAAGTTTAAAAAAGAAACCAGGCTATTTTCATCCCATCGAATCGGCCAGGGTACCAGTTCACACTTCACAAAGCAGTGGGTGAGGGAGCTAAAATTGTTCAAAAATAGCCCTTTGTCAAACACAACGTTTCATTTCCCACGGCAAGGCAGAGGGACAAGAAATAACACAGGGTTGGAAGCTTAGGTGTCCCAAGAACTTAGAATCAGCAGCCAACATGAGTAGCTTTGCATATTGACAATATCATCAATTTCAGGGTTGGGGGTGGAAACAATCCCAGAGACCTTTAAGGCACTTGAGAGAAGACCCCAGTGAGCACTTGACCACTATATTCTAAAACCTGAAGAAAAAAAATCAGCCAACCAACCAGGTGATTTCAAATAAAAGATGTGAGAAAGAAAGGAAGCAATTAATACATCACCCACTCACACCCTACAGTCTAAATGAGTCCACTGTCTTGGCTTTGTCACTAATGGTATACACTACTGGCAGTCACGTAGTCAGAGCTTAATGTCCGATGGGAAATAAAGGTGAACGGGGAATGAACAGTTACACTTAGTTACACTTTTGAGACTGCTGAGCCCACTCTATGTTTGAAGAATAATGCCTGAGATAAATGGAAAGGGACTTGCAAGCTCCTAAGAACTTAAGCCAACTCTTTGATAATAGGCTCCAACTAACCATAAGGCAAATTCAGCTCAAAATCCTCAGGTCCTTGAAAGCCTAGCTTCCATCAAAAAATCATCTCTTGGGGCCTAAAGGGAAGATCAAGTTTCACTGGGGTTTGCAGTGCAATTCTCTAGTCTTCATTGCTTCATGACTGACTCATCCCAGAACTAGCTTCGGGTCCTAAGTGTGTCCTCCAGTGCAGTCATAGCCTTTGACTCCCCTTCCACTAGGACCAGAGAAATTTACAGCCAACCACCTGAGCGGAGCCCCAGGCTCACGACCCAAGCAAGAAGGATGGAAGTAGATCCCAAGGAAAGTCCAATGAAGAACTTTAGAGAATAAGTCAACAGCCCAGATAAAGCATCTTCTCAACACTGGGCTCCTGTCTTACTCTTAATAAGGAGGGAATATTACGTGGCTTTTCAACACATAAGGAAAACTGAGGCATGGTCTCCACAGAGAAACTTTCTTCTCTGGTGAGAAATGACGTAAGGATCTAAGTGTTGGGTGGTGACGCTAAGCATGTTATCCCATCCGCCACTCTGCTCAAAGGTCATCTCCGACAAACGTACATCAGGGGTTAAACAGGAGCTTTCAAGGTCCACCAAATGTGCTTCCTGTGCACTTTGTAGTGGGGGCTTCTGCTAAGAGCTGTGGTGTGGCATGGGTCACAGACTCTGTACGTCATAGACTTAGAGACCGTCAGTCCGTGCCCAGCATTACTGGGATAGCAAAGCTAAATACCTGAGACTCTGACATAGGACAACAGAGGCAAAAGTCTGAAGGAGACTGTTTCAGGGTATGGTTTCTGCTAGGGGGAAAGTTGTGGGGTCGGGCCCACAAACACATCTCCAGGAGTTGAAGATCCTCTATCACAGATGCCTCTTTGCTGGACAGACACTCCCCCTTTATCTCATCAAACCTGTTCTCTGGCCTTAATTATATCTTCTCTCTTTAGTTCTAAATGCCTACCCTTCTCTAGGTTCTTAGGATCTAGCTACTTTGTTCTAACGAGAAGTTGAGTTGCCTGGAGCAGGGTGATCTGAGAAGCCACAGACACGATTTGCATTTTTAACAATATTGTAATATTGTATGCCCAATTGAGACTAAATTGAACGTGTAAGCTCTAGTAGAGATTCAAAGCTTGTTGACATCATCTCATTTGAAGAGACCACACCCTTTCTCCAGAGATGTCAGCCTCCAGAATTAATCTTCAAGATAAAAGAGTTCATGCATTGAAATGTTCCCCAGGATGTCATGATTATTATCAATGATACAGTAAAAAGGAAGGACTGATTGGGAAATTTTAGTATGTCTACCTCATGGAAAGTTATGCAGGCACTTAAAATGTTTAGTGCTCACTTATAATTTGGTGAAAACCAGTGTTTGAAAGTAAAAGTTTTAAAAAAAGACAATAATAACTTATCACAGTTAAAACCAGACATAAACTATGCTGTCAACGGTTGTCTTTACTTGGTTGTGCTATGTATTTATATTTTCATACTTTCCAATTTGTTCATAACTGTATAATGGATAAAATTTTAAAGGGTGACTCTCATTGGAAGGGAAGTATTTTATTTTCACAGAATTTTTTTTCTGCATTTAGTTGATAATTCTTTGAGTGTCCAAGAGGACTCCATTTTTCTGCAAGGGTATTGAGGCAAAGGCAATGATGAACATGAGCGAGAAAAAACTCGCTCTGATTAAAACTATCTCTACTAGTTCTGTGGCTACCACAGCAGAAACAGATCTCATGCCTGGCATTCAAAGTTCTCTACAGCCCAGAGCCTAGTGCATCTCGGTTGACCATTTCTCTACCTATGGAAATCAGTCCAGGCTTCAGATAGTCACTTAATTCACTTCTGTGCATAAAGACGTCCCTGGCCGTCTGACCAACCACCCTGCTTCTACGGGTTCCCTCTTCTCTTCAGGTATTGCCACAACACCTAAAGTTACATCACCTGCCGACATTGAGCCCATTCTGTCATTCAGTTCCTTATTTCTAAGTAAGTAAGTACCTCTCAGCTAGACCTGGAGTTTCTTGAAGTCATACATTTAGATGCTTTTTAGTAGTTACTGGTCAAATATATGCAGAGGCAGAGAGGAAGTAGAATTCTACAGCCGGGCTAGCATTATATCCGTGCCCTAGTGGTATTATCTCAATGAAGCCTACTGTTTTAAAACCCTGCCTATGACATCACTGGTAGGACATGCACTTTCCATCTTCTGCTTTTGGAGCAGTAATAGTCTATTTCTGCTTATTCGTTCATATCAATCCTGAAGTTCCTCTTGGGATCAAACAGATTGGCTTGCAACATGCCTCACCAAGGTGCAGAATGTAAATAAGAAATGGAATGACCTTCTAAAAATCACAAGACCACACACAGAGTCCCGCTTCTCTTGCAGGTTTTGTCTGAACAACAGATATAAATCTTTGCCTCCACGTTATGTCCTTCCTTAGGCTGAGGGCTTCAGTCTATTAATATCCCCTTTAACCAAAAGAAGCACTCTCCAGATCAATTGTCCAGTGCTTCAGAAGTGATGAAGTAAATGGCTGTGTTCTTGTGTGCCATCGAATACCCTGCCAGGACTCAGAAATAAAGACCATCTGTGCATTAGCAACCTGACACCCGAGACATCAACAACCGTTGCATATCTTAAAAGATAATCCATAAATCGTAACTGAAAGCAGGTCAAAGGACCTGCCAGAGGAGAAAGAAAGACCTAGTGTCTATTATTTTTGCAGAGGGTGAATACAAGGTCAGTGTGATTGTTGACTCTGAAGAGCAGGGCATCAATTAACAAACCCACTTCTCACTGTTCACAACTCTGTCTTACTATCGCACATACATGTTTTATTTAATAAGTGAAGCAAGCACTTAAGAGTAAGTGCTTGTTCGCATGCTAGCACTTACTGGATGACCTCAAGCCTTCTCTATAGCTTAGCTCCCTAACCTATAAACTGTCACCTGCTATGGCAAGTCACAAGGCTGTGACAAGCCAAATAGCATCACTTGAGTCTCAGCTTGTTTGTCACCCCGCTGTGCGTGGTTCAGTCTCACACCCCATAAACTGGATCACTGTTCTTCCTTTGAATGTTACCCAAAGATTAAATAACGATTCCCAGATTGCTTACTGCGATGCTAATTGATTCTCCCAAGACGGGAGCATCCAGCATGTATCACCACCCAAAATCATCTTGGGCATCTCTGGTTCGGGCCCAGCTCTCTGATAAGAGTGTTGTCCAAATAGACATCTTTTTTTTTTTTTTTTTTTGCTAGATGCTAAGGAAATGGATGTTCTCTCACAGGATCACTCCCATGTGTGCAGGGCAATGTGCAGAAAGTTTACAGGTTGCTGTAACTAGTGGTTGAGATTTCTCCTATGAAAATTAATATTATACTTCATATCTAATAGTGCATAAGTGGACCCAGTACTGACGGATACAGTATGGTCTGTGGATGTTGGCGTGAGGGAGACCTGGATTCAAATTCTTGGTCTGTGACCTTGAGGTTGTAATTTAAGATCTCTGTTCCTCACTTTCGAGAACTGGCTCTGAGTTGATGTGATAATTTAACTCGATTGCACACACACACACACACACACACACACACACAACATGCCTAAAATACGATGTTGTTATTCATAATTCCTATACATCATTTCTTTTCTTTTTTGAATCCGTCAAACCAATACTGAATATAAGACAAATTCTACCAAAAACAAAAATTTCATTTTGGGGGGATGTTTTGATATCAGATAAAGTGGATGTCCAGTGGGATGAGAAGTGGAGAAAGGGAAACGTGTGGGAAAAGAGATCTCTCACTGACACACTTTCAAGAATACACAACATGCTCTGCTCAAGGAGGCTGACACTGGGGCTGGGGACAGAATATCATGACAGAGCAACCCAGCGGGGGACTGGGAGCTCTGCCCCCTTCACCCTGCCAGAGTATGTCTAGAAACTGAAGTGGGACCCCACAGATAATCCGGTCCAGTCCCCTCCTCCTTCTGCCCAAACCACTGGGCACCAATGATGCTGAATCATGAGCCTGGCAGCAGCCGCCCTCCTGACAGCTTTTACCCTGGCATGTCTCCAGGACAGGGACTGGAGGGAATGGGCACAGCGACCTGGGGTGTGGAGGAGAGGGGCGGGGGCAAGGGCAGGTACTCACGGCTGAGGTATCTCTCCGGCTGGATCCAGTGGCAGGCCCCTCGGTGGCCCACACTTCCCGCCGCCGCTGGCCGCTCCCCGGTCGGCCCACCCCGCGGGTCGTCCTGGGATCACCTCAGCTACCCCACAGCCCGGGGCAGGCACGGTTCAGAGCTCAGAAGCTCGACCCGACCAGGAGCAGCTGGAGCAGCTGCTGTGCCCAAGGGGGTGGTAGCTACCGATGGGCCAGACCATTTGCCCACTGCGCCCAGGGGTGCGCGTCCTGCATGGAGGCAAAAGTACTAGAACCTCGAGAGGGCTGGCTACGGGCAGGAGAAACCAAAGAAAAGGTGGGACCTCTGCCCGCCTCTCGCCCTGAGAGCTAGGGACCTCTTGGACCCGTGGCTTCTCATCTAGGTGTGCAAAAGAATGAACTAGGCTTTCCGGGGCACCCCTCACCCCGCCTTATTCTTGGTCCCGCTCGGGGAGCGTTCAGAACGCCTTTAACAGAGGACCTAGCAACCCTAACTCCAGGGTGGCATCCCCTCCTAAGGGGATGCTAGGGGAGCTGGCCTGACACCTATCTGGGCCACTTCCTTCTTCATCTTATGACCTACCTAGACCAGCAGGCCCCGAGTCCACATGTCAGCTTATCACAGAAGGGTGCCTTAGATCTCGCAAAAAGGCTCTTCTGGTCTTTTATTATTATTTAGCTACATTTAGCTAATAATAAGAGGGTATCAAAAGTCAACCTGAAAGTTAGACAGTAAGATCAAGTGAGCGCCCTCCCATCTGGATGTCTGAGGTTAGAGCCCGCTGACAAAACCTCAACATGAAAGTTGGAAAGTGTAGATTGAATTGGGTGGACACTTTGGACAGAACTATGAAAAAGTCCAGGTGAAATTCAAGAATAGTTGTGGTTTCTTGTTCATGAGTTCAGAGATTACTCTCTTGGTAACTCGGAAATAATCGTGATCTTACATGAAATGGACCTCACAGGACTGGGAACAGTTCATAAGCATGAAATTTCTTTGACGTCCATGGTTCCTGCCCCTGTCCCAGCCAGACTCACACGTGTTTTAGGAACACAGTGGTTAACAACCAACTGTACAGCTCTCCATCTAGAAGGAAATTGGCAGTCACCTATAAAATGTGACTAGGGAGGGCTGCTTGCTGTACCCCAAATAAAATGAGATTTCACAACTTAGTTACTGTTTCTGAAAGTGGCAATTAAGCATTTACATGAACATTACAGTAGAAATATTTTCAGTTCTAGCCTTCCCTTGCCACTGTACTCCTATTGAGATCAGCAGAAATGTTCCTGGCTTTTAGATGGGGCTTTAAATGGTGCAGAACAGACGCTGACATTTGACTTAATATGGGGGGGGGGTTGAGGGTGGGAATACACTGTAAGCCTTAACATAGCTATCACTGGGACCTGGGTGTGAGTTTGACCTTTGCAAAAACTAGGTTTTATGATGGAGAAGAGATATTTGAGTATCTAAGATGGACGTCACCCTGATGAAGCAAAGGGGACCAGACAGGGGTGGGTGGACTTTTCCCAGAAAGTGGGAGCGCCAAGGTCAGAAGCTCAATGGAGCATTCTGTGAGGGTGAGGATCATGATGCTGATCTCACACTACATCACTCTGTGCTTTCACCTCACACTACATTTCAATTGCAGGCCGCCATACTTCCAATCTCAAGAAAGAGGAAGAGACACTACCAACTTCAAAGCTCAAGATGGCGTTTACAGGACTCAGGAACAGAAGTTGTTGCTTTTCTGTATGGTGTGCTGTTGGGATAAGGCAAACCGATGATGTTCGCACGTCAGCACAAGCATCGCAGATATCCCTAGAGCCCTGCGTTGCTGGGGAGCCTAGATAGCTGGCTCCCTAGAGAAGCCAAAAGCTTCAACACAGGGCTCATAGCCTCAGCCTCAGGTAAGGGCAGCTCTCTCCACAGTCAACTGTCCCCCTATGAAAGGTAGCAGCAAAAGAATTCAAGAGATGGCTAAAGACAGAAATAGATATAGAAAGAAGGGATACGGCCTGTGAATACCTAGGGACTTGACGGTCTTGTGTAACCTGTGGTCACCTATTTGTAAGTTGATGTTCTTAGCACGTGTTTCTGAATGAAGAAAGGGATTTTTTTATGACAACTTGGGAAGTTGTCAAAGTGAAGGGGGTGGGGCATCACAGAGCCTGCGCCCCCTGTTCTCTTTCAATGTCTTGAAAACCTAAAGCTATAGTAGGGCCATAAAGGAAAAATTTAATTTCTTAGATGATTATATGAGGTTTTGGATCTGTGGACTACCTCTCCAATCCTCACAACAAAAGACAGGTCAGACGTGGGGAGAGAAAAGACTCTGTGTGGTGAAGAAAGCTTGACTTACAGTTATCATCCTAGGTTGCTTTAAACTTTACTTATATGCCGGTTGGTGAAGCAAATTCATTTGTATTCACAAACAAGCATGATCTAGGAATCTTTAAAAGTATTGCCTTGATACGATACTAAGAAAGGTAAAAATGGTGCTTGGTGCCTTTGTAGAAAGTTGTGATAAGCCAAACAATGCCGAAGCCTTATCAGAGCATGTTCACTCGGTTTCTGATGTATGTCAGATTAGGCCAACGTTTGCATCATCCCAAATTCTCTGTTGAAGATGTGAATTGTGTATGTTCTCCTAGTTTGCCTTGAGCTAGTACTTAGCAAATGATTAGTATATCTGAGGTACATATTACTACCTCTTCCACCATAAAGACAAAGAAACCACTAGTTAAAAAATGGCAATGCTAGGCGAAAAGCTGCTTTCAAATTTGAGCCAGTACCTGGTGTCACCCTCCACATGCCATTGTGGTAGCCTGCCGCTCGGAAAGCAAGCCACCACGAGTTTCATGCCTATCTGCGGTAGGAAATCGATTTCATACTTCTGTATTTATTTTTGGTTTCTCGACACAGTCTTGCTGTGAATTCCAACAGCCTACCAAGTGTTGGGAATAGAGGTTTACACCAGCGTGCCCAGCCATACTCAGTTTGACATGTATTTCCACTGCTAATTTCTGAGAGAGATGAGTCATTCCTCACATACGAGGATTAGATGCTAACCCTCTCATGGGAAACACTGTTTATGTTCTCAAAATCTGAAGTGAGCAAAGGCTGGGTGTATCCAGCCAGTGATTCCTGACAGCGGTGTGCGATTTGTCTCAGGAACTGGGGCGAAATCTAGAACCTCTATTTTATGATGCTCCATTGTTGATCCTAGAGCACAAACAGCTTGACTAAACTGTGCAAAATGAAAGCAATGGAGAGCCCCCTCTTTCCTCCATCCCCCCCTCCTCTCTTTTTGCCACCCCACTGTGGGAACTCGTTCATCTGTCTCCCTTTTCCTTAGCCCCTCTCTCCAGTCTTCTGGTTTTAACTCTTTACTCCAACCATTAACTGAACAGGGAACAAGAAATAGTTATTTTAAACCTACTATATAAAAAATCCCCAGTCATTGTATAGTAATGTACCTACTGTGCGTAGGACAGCATCCAGTGTTCTTTTCAACATTTTTATTGCATTTACGTATATATGCATGACTCAGCACTCATATGGAGGTCAGAGGATAAAGGAGAGGCTTTCTCCTTCCAGCATGTGGTCCTGGGTACCAAACCTAGATCATCAGGCTTCATAGCAAGTGCCTTTACCCATTGAGCACCTTTGCCCATAAAGCACTCTTAATGGTGCTTTATGTAAAAGGAAAATAATACTCAAAATTATATTTGTGTATAATTTTTAGACAATTGACATGTTTATAACACTATCATTTCTAACCTAGATGATAGGTGTTTGTAGTTTTCATACTGTGCCCTGTACCTTTCTTACCAAACTCACCTAACAATGTTACATACAACATCTATCTTCCGAATCAAATGTTCTTCCCATGTAACCAAGGGCTATTTCCCGGGTAGGCAGGAGCCAGTCTTCTCTGCAGTTTATCTTGTGTTTAATCTAATGCAATCAAATCTCGTGTCTGATCATGGAAGCCTCAAGAGAACTTTCTAAGAAGAAGGAGGCATGTATTCCGAAAAGGTAACTTCATCTCTTTTCTGTTATGAATCCCTCTGTCTCGTTGGTGGCAGAGATGTCAGAGTAAATAATTATGGAGATATTTGTGTGAGTCCCGACGATGCGTAAAGGTTTAACGTTTTGTACGTAAACCATTACTAGCGTGCCTTCCTTAACTGTCTACATCTCCTTCCTGTTTCACTTACCATTTCCTTTCACGTTGGTGACTTGTCCTCTGTCAAATTCCCCTTCATAAGTTATTGATAATGGCTGGTAATCAATATGGAACCAGACTTCTTGAACTGAACCATATTTTCTTCCTTTGTTAAAGCCCGCTATGGAGTGGACATTCTTCCCCTGTTATAGCCTTTGTCATGTTTTTCATGTGTTTGGCATCTGTACTAGGAAGAAAAGCAGATCTAGCTTTCCAGTGGCTGCTGTTGCTTTTGCGGGCTGTGGTATTGTTATGCTGACTTCATAAAATTACCCAAGGAACACTCCCATTTCTCACAGCTATAATAATTTAAATAAGATTGGAATTCTTTTTTTTAGTAAGTTGGAAGTTCAACACTGAATTCATCTGACTGCAGGCTTTTCAACAGCAGACGGTCTCTTCTATCGATCTACTTCAGGGTTGCTGTTGTTGTTTGTTTCTTGTTTCTAATTTCTATGTGTCTGTTGTGATATTATAAATTCTTCATTAAAAATTATCTCTGCGCTATCATTTTTATTTGCACTCCATTGTTTTAGAATCGTTCAATTTCCCAAGATCTTTGGATTACTATGTCTTTTCAAAATTTTAAAAATTTTGCTTCATGCCAGGCAGTGGTGGCACACGCCTTTAATCCCAGCACTTGGGAGGCAGAAGCAGGTGGATTTCTGAGTTCAAGGCCAGCCTGGTCTACAGAGTGAGTTCCAGGACAGCCAGGGTTACACAGAGAAACCCTGTCTCAAAAAAAAAATTTTTTTTTTTACTTTATTGTGTGTTTCTTAATTTTCAATTGGAATAAGATGAGACTGTAACCTGTATATAGTGTAATTTACTAAGAGTTTCTTTTGATTATGTGCATAATTTTCATAAATACTTTATTGAGATAGGAAATGTATTTAATTATATATTTGCATGCCCTATTGAAGAAATGAAATGTTCCCTACAAAAATGTTCTATGATGTGAACATATATCAGCCCCTAAA